CGCTTGTTGCCCAGGCTGGAGCGCAGTGGTGTGATCTCGGCTCACCACAACCTCTGCCTCCTGGGTTCAAGCGATTTTCCTACCTTGGCTTCCCGAGTAGCTGAGATTACAGACTTGCACCACTACACCTGGCTAGTTTTTTGTATTTTTAGTAAAACGGGGTTTCTTCATGTTGGTCAGGCTGGTCTCAAACCCCTGACCTCAGGTGATCCACCCACCTTGGCCTCCCAAAGTGCTGGGAAATTCAGTCTGAGCCACTGCACCGTTTTAAACTATGAGCCCAAAGATCGTATCTCAGATTCCTCTTATGCATAATGCCACCCACTGTGGCCAACTTCTACGGCACCGCTTCCTGCACATATTTTGATTAAACACCTTGACTGCACCTCAGAAAAGGTGGGTATGGACCGATTCCTTCACCATTGAACACATGGAGCCCAGAGAACAAAGTTGACTGCTGAGCCCCAGGGGTGAACAGAGATCAGAGCCTCTTTTCATGGTTCTCACAGGCCATATGACAGACAGATGGGAGAAACTGGCTTCTGCAGGGCCAAAGGCCTCTGGCCACGGCGCCCATACCAAAGGGGACAGACTGGCCAGTGCGGCCTTATCCCTGTCTCCTTAGGAACCACATTCCAGTGGGATCTGTTTGGGAATACAGGTTGGGAGTACGGGTGGGGAGACCTACTCTAGCCCCGGTTCAGTCACGAGGATTCAGGAACACCTCCAATAGCTGATGCTAATAACTACGGTTGCCAGATAAAACATAGGTGGGATCCGAGTTTCAGAAAACAAACAAAAAATGTTTTTAGTATGTCTCACACGCTGCCTGGGGCATACATTACAAATCAGCCCATTTATATTTGAAACTCAAATTACGGCCAGCTTGTCTTTTTTTTTTTTTTTTTTTTTTTTTTTGAGACATAGTCTCACATTGTTGCCCAGGCTGGAGTGCAGTGGCACCATCTCGGCTCACTGCAACCTCAATCTTCTGGGTTCAAGCAATTCTCCTGCCTCAGCCTCCCAAGCAGCTGGGATTACAGGCGTGTGCCACCGCGCCCAGCTAATTTTTGTATTTTTAGTAGAGACAGGGTTTTGCCAACCCTGGAGCTGTCAGGAAGGCTTTTGGGTTGGGCGCTGGTACAGGGACAATTCTCTATAACAGTGTTTTTCCTCTACCCTCACATCACAACAATCAACGCAGAGGAGTTGTGACCAAATAAATGTGTGTACGGGGGGTTCCCTATGCAGCAAGCAGCTTGGTGTCCTCTAATGCAGTTCTGACACTGAAAGATAGTGTCAGATCCCACAGGTTGAGGGCTTAGTCCCCAAGACTGCCCCTAATAACACCCAGTAAGTCTGGACCTCCAAAACTTCTGACTGACTGGTTTCAAGCTGGGATTCCCATGACCCCCTCTTTGGGTTCAGTCAATTTGCTGAAGCGGTTCAGAGGGACTGACATTTGCAAAGGTCAGAGATGGTAGTGTGTTGTCCAAGCCTGTCTGCGGGAGCACAGTTGAGGAGGGAACAGGAGGTGGAGGTCAGGTGGGAAGGAAGGCTGGGGCCCTGTTGGGAAGACCCTGAGTGTGTGCTGTTACGATAGACATTAGTTTTCCTCCACGATTCCTGCCTCATAACTCCCACAGCCCTTGTTACAGTCTTTTGTTGTAATATTGCCTGTGTTAGGACCACAGAAAACAGAATATCTCCACCTCCTCCGGCCGTCCTTTCACCTGCCCCAAGGCAGGACTCTAGCCTTTCCTGAACTTTCCAATGGTCATTCTTAAGATCCTCACCAGAGAGGTTCCCACCCCTTACCCCGGGGGAAGGAATGCTGACGTTATGAAGCTTTCATAAAAACCCAAGAGGAGCTTGGATACCTGAACACGTGGAGGTTCCTGGAGGGTGGCACCCTTTGGAGGGTGTGGAAACTCTCCATCCCTTCCCCATATCTGAATGGTGTTTTTTTTTTCCCCTTCATGAAACTCTTCCCTGCTTCTTGTAGGTGCCTCCGTAGTCATTATCAGATTTTATGATAATTTTTACATGTCTCCCAGTTCCTAAGTATCTTCCACAGTGTCTAGCACATCATAGCACATGATCAGTAAATAGCTGATAGAAAGAACTAATTAAACTATCTGCCTTGTGAGTTATCTAAATAGAGGTCTGTGCTTCTCATGCGAAATTGACCATGTTTTTTCTTGACAAGTCATTTTTTTTCTTTTTTTTTTTTTTGGAGATAGAGTCTCACTCTATCTCCAAAAAAAAGGGAGGTTGAAGGGTTATTTCCCAATTGCCCAGGCTAGAGTGCAGAGAGGCAATCTAAGCTCACTGAAACCTCTGTCTCCCGGGCTCAAGTGATTCCCCTGCCTCAGCCTCTCAAATAGCCGGGATTACAGGCACGCGCCACCATGCCCAGCTAATTTTTGTATTTTTAGTAGATATGGGATTTTACCATGTTGGCCAGGCTGGTCTAGAACTCCTGACCTCAGGTGATCTGTTCACTTTGGCCTCCCAAAGTGCTGGGATTAGAGGTGCGAGCCATGATGCTCGGCATCAAATAATGTTTTTATCAATATTCATCTGGAATTCCCTGCTAGACTTTTCATTCTTTGAAGACACTACATTTCCTTCTGTAATGCAGACACCAGTGTTTCATGAGAATATATTGTGTTGAGTGGAATTGTGGGAAGGGAATGTCTCTGGGAGACCATATCAAGCGAGTGCCCAGATTCTCCTTTCTGCTCCGGTTCAGATCTGACTCAGTCAATCTCTTTTTTTTTTTTTCCTTTTTCTTTTCTTTTTTTCTTTTTCTTTTTCTTTTTTTTTTTTTTTTTGAGATGGAGTCTTGCTCTGTCACCAGGCTGGAGTGCAGTGGTGCAATCTTGGCTCACTGCAACCTCCGCCTCCTGCATTCAAGCGATTCTTCTGCCTCAGCCTCCCCAGTAGGTGGGACCACAGGCCCACGCCACCATGCCCGGCTAATTTTTTTGTATTTTAAGTAGAGACAGGGTTCCACCATGACCAGGATGGTCTCGATCTCTTGACCTCGTGATCCGCCTGCCTTGGCCTCCCAAAGTGCTGGGATTACAGGCGTGAGCCACCGCACCTGGCCTCTCTCAGTCAATCTCAAAGCCACCTGGCCTAGTCCTGGAACTGAAGAACAGACACAGAGCTTATTTGTGAGATGCAGGGTTGTTTGTGTCCGGAGTGGGGGAGTCTAGATTAAATGTGTGTTCCAGGAACCATCCCAGACTTTCCCTTGGGGCTGGCATGCTGCTAAGAGAGTCAAAGAAGGTTGAGGGACAAGAAGAAAACCTGGAAACAGCCAGAGAGTGGGGCAGGGGCTGGAGGTGGAGGCCGAGGCTAGAGAGAAATAGAAAACACGAGTTTCAGATGCAGCACAGAGAGCACTGTTATAAAATTCTGGCAACCTGGATTCTTTCTCTGGCTCTGTCCATGCCTTGAGCCATGAAGGAAGGAAAAAATACATATGTGTGCCTACTGTGTCATTTCATGTAGATTTTATTCCAGTTTCTCAACAGTTCTGCAGGAAGCTGGGAGGGTAGATTACTGGCCTACAGACACATAGCCCAGCCTACCAACACAAATTAACCTCTCAACGTTAAACGAAGTAAAATGAAGTTAGGTTCAATTTTTAAGTAGCTTTAAGTTCCTTTCCTCTCTGACTTCTACCAGCAGAGCATTTCTACTAGTAACAAAACAAAACAAAACAAAACACCCAAACAACTCTCAACCATGGGGCAAGAGAAACTAAGGAATCGATGTTGAAAGCCTAGGGGGACCAGGAGAGGTGGCTCAGGCCCAGGCCTGTAATTCCAGCACTTCGGGAGGCAAAGGTGGACAGGTGACCTGAGGTCAGGAGTTCCAGACTAGCCTGGCCAACAAGGTGAAACCCCATACTTACCGAAAAATACAAAAATTAGCCAAGCCTGGTGGCATGTGCCTGTAGTCCCAGCTACTCAAGAGGCTGAGGTGGAAGAATCGCTTGAACCCGGGAGGCGGAGGTTGCAGGAAGCCGAAGGTTGCAGGGAGCCGAGATCGCGCCACTGCCCTCCAGCTTGGGCGACAGAGACCCTGTGTCAAAACAAACAAACAAACAAACAAACAAACAAACAAACAAACAAAAACAATGGCAGGGGAACGTGTGCAGTGTAGAGAAGCCTGAATGAGAAGACCAGGGAAGTCCTGAGCTAGCTTGGAAGAGATCTTCAGGAGTGGGGCGTAGGCATGAGCCCCTGCCTCTCTGTGCCTGTTCCTTACAGGGTCACGGCAGGTGGAGAGCTGGAATTCGAGTCGGCCCTGGGACTCAGCAGTAAAGGATCCTGGCAGCAAAGCTTGCGAATTACACATATAAATCTGGGAGAGGAAAAGCAAGCAGACTTCCTGCGGCCCTTGGGGGTTGGGAATGGGATGCGCTTCCTGCGTCCCTGACCCACCTTGGGGGTTGGGAGTGGGGTGCGTTTCCTGCGTCCCTGACCCGGGAAGGACGCTGTTTGGTAGCAAGCACCTAGCCGGAGAGTGGCTGGGCACCTAGCCAGAGTGTAGCTGGTAGGGCGCAGCTAAGGGCTAGAGGACTTCATCTGAGAACCCGGCTTAGCTAAGGTAGCCTAGGGAGGTTGAAGGGTTATTTCCCAATTGCCATCCTTGCGCCCCCTGGCTTAGACCACGCAGCATGGACAGAACTGGGGGAGGGGTGCACCTGCAGCTCCCTGCGGCCCGGCCGACCTCGAGGACCCCAGGTTAGGGAGAGCTTCCGGGAGCTCCGACAGGAGCAGATAATTCGGATGGGTGGCCCGTAGGGCGACAGCCTCGGAAAAGGCGCATCTCGGGCTGTGGGTTTCTCGGGGGGCGCAGGGGCGGAGCGGGGCGGGGCGAGGGGCTCGCAGCAGCCGCTGGTTGGCTGAACCGGGAGGGAGAGAGTTCTCATTAGCATATCCCCGCCCCCCTCCGCCGCACCGCCCCTCGCGCGCAGCCGGGCCCAGCCACCCGAGCGGAGGCGGCCGAGGCCAGTCAGGCACTGAATGGACTGGCAGCGCCCAGCTCTGTCCCGCCCGCGGCCGGCCCCCGCGTCTGCTCCCTCCCCGCCCCGGCCCCTGCCGGCCGCCGCCAGCGCCCTCCCCGGCTGTGAATGAAAGGCGGGCGCAGCCGAGGGCTGGCTGGGAACGCCGCGGCGACGCCGGCCTCCCGGGAGGCGCGCGCCCAGCCGAGATGTACGGTAAGGAGGGCTCCGCGCCCGAGCCGGGCCCCCGGGGGCGACTCCGCAAACTTCCCGGGCGCGGACCACTGTCCCCCAGCGCGGCCCCGGCGCGGGTCCAGGCCGCGGACCTGGTGCCCGCCGGGGCTGTTGCGGTCGCTCTGTGCGCGCGCGTCTGTGCTGCGAGGACAAAGATGCCTCGGGCCGGGGACCCTGGGGTCCTCTCCGGGCCCGGCGCGTGCCGGCGCTGGGCGGTGGTCCTTTGAGGGGTGGAGGCTCGGATGAAAGCGGGTCTCCCGAGCCGCGCAGACCGGGAGTGCTGGAGGAGGTGGTCGTGTGGCGGCATTTGGGGAATTAACAAAAGCGGTTTGTGCCTGGGAGTTTTCTGCGGGAAGCCGGTCCTGGGCTGAGGGAGACGCCCGCGGCCGGTCGTCTGCGCGGCTCGGAGAAGGCAGGAGGCGGTGCCGGCGGCGCAGAGGCCCGGGGAGCAGCCAGTGCCCGAGTCTCGCCTCGCCGGCCTGGATGGACTCGGCCTCCGCCTGCCCCTACCGCCCCGCAGGATCCAGGTTCCCCAACTTCCAGATTTGCCCTCCGCAGGGATGAAGGGAAGAGATGCTGCTGAGAGGGTGCAGCACAGCCCTGACCTCTCCCCGTCTCCACCGCCTCCCCTCCACTGCCGTGCAACAGTTAGACCCTCACGATGCGCGGCTCTGCTTGATCATTTGCCAGGAATCCCTCTGGTTTTGCAGGCAGTGTGGGTGAAGAAGAGAGAGCGCGCTTCTCTCATGCAGCTCTGTTGAATGGAACACTGGAGACCCAGACCAGTCTAGGAACGGACTGCATTCGCGAGTCTGCAGCCCACCAAGGGCTGTGCGTGTGTGTGTGATCCCAGTAGACATAAGTCCATGAAAACCCAGGTCTCTGGCAGCTCTTCTAGGGCCAGCAAAAGAATTGGAGCTGTGCTCACCTCCCACCCCCACCGCAAGGCAGGGGCTCCGGCTGCACTTGAGGGTCAGTGTTTGGAAAGAGTAGGTTCCCCATTTAACCCATCACTGAGGCTGCTGGGCTGCTCACCTGCCTCGATACACGAACAGACTGTGAGTTACAAAGTTTCTTAGGGGAGAGGAAGCTGAAAGCCTGGTGGAAAGGCTCAGCAATTGGTGGGCCCCCTACTGAGAGAGAGAGAGAGGGAGACAGAGAGAGAGAAAGACTGACTCAACTTTTTCATCAGTCCCCTTCCCTGCCCATTTGCTCAGAAATACGTTTGCATTTCTGATCCAGAGTGAGACATCAGCAGGTCCCCTCAGCAAGTGCTATTTCTTTCGGACCAAGTCAGGGAAGAGGAGTTAGCCTGAGAGACTGTGCTGCTGACCACTGGGGACTCTGGGGAAAGGTAACAAGGCAGTTGTGCTTTCTAAGTCGGAGGCTGTGAGATATGTATGAGTATGTGTGTGTTTTTTTACTCTCTCTGTTTTCCCCCTATTCTTTTCTGCAGAGGGAGCAGCCTGAAGCTGCAGATCATTTGACAAAAGCATGTGACTGCAGGAGCACCTGCAGTGGGGAAGGAGTTAGGACAGGCTTATCAGAATGGGTCAGAATTAGGAACTGGGCTCTGCTGAGCTGCCTCATTGCATTTAGTCCAAGATAATTTAGTAACTTAGCCCAGATATCTGAAGTTGGGGGTCCCAGGCTGCCTCTGTTGTACGAAGCAAGACAGGGAAGAGCTGGACAGTCAGAAAGGTGAATTGGGGAGCCAGCGCATCTGGGTGCTATTTTAAGATACATCACAGATTTTCATTTCTCTTTTATAATATATTTTTATTTCCCCAGATGCAAACAGAGATGGTATTTACCCTGAATGATTCATAGAAAGATGATAATGAAGGAATCCTCTGGGCAGTTGCCGTCAGCAAAGGAAAGTCACACCAAGCTTGGGTGGGAGATTATTACTGAGATGCTGGTGCAGAGTCTGGTCTTATGAAGTGTGGGAGGAAGCCCACTCCCCCTGGTGAGGACTCAGCTGCCTGAATATACTCATTTGAGTATATTCCTGACTTTCATGGAAAGAAAGGGTTCGTGTGATACTTAAAATCATTTTCTCACCAGAAGTCAATAAAGTGATGAAAAAAAGTGTGATTAAGGAGGTTGGGAGGAGACGGGCATAGAATTATAGACTTCTTATCATTGCTATTTCCCTCTTGTTTTAAAAGTGATTTTTCCAGGGTGACACAGTTAGATGGAACAGGGCAGAATGAAAACAGGGGCCACTCGGCACAATGCTTCTCCACCTCCCACCTTCCAACCTCCCCCATGCATCCTGTAAAGGCTCATTAGAAAAATACCACCAGGGGTTTAATTAACTGATGGGCAGAGAGGCCCAGCTGTGGAGCCAGAAATCACCTAAGAGCTTTAGGTAAACGTGTCTCTTGTCCACCCACCTTGGTGGCTTGAGCGACTATACGTTTTTCTTCCCATCTTTCCAGCTCTGGAAGAGCTCCATCTCCCATCCTTCTCCCTCCTCACCCTACCTCTGCCCTCCACAGCTCAGCCTTCTTCCTTCTGCTTTTGGAAGGCTGGGAGCCCCATATCTTTGCTAAGGTCACAGTGCTATCTAGGATAAAAAGAATCCTTGTTCTGGGGTCATCCCACCTCAATCCAGGAGCCCTTTCGTGGCTGGGTGACCTTAGGCAAGTGGGGTTGTCATTCAGCATTAAACCCCTGTATACAAAGGTGAAATGCCTGCTTGTCTACCTTCCAGGCTGTTGTAAGCATCATGAGAGGTTCCGAGCTCCTGAGACTGGTTGCTCAAGAGCCTGTCCCCTTGGTGCCCCCTGGACCTGTTCCCTCCTCTCCTGTCTGCCAGCTCGGGCACAGGCCTGTTTGTATCACCTGCCGCCCCCGCTTACACACATACATCACCTTGACTGTGCCAGTGCCAAGCCGCTGAGCCGCTTCCCTTTCTCAGACTCACCCCAGCTGTCTCCTCACCACTCAGTCATCCCTAAACCTATCACTTTCTGGAAATGGCTCTCTAAAAGCACAGAGTGACTTCCCACAGTTTTGTGTGGGAATCCTATAAAGGCAAATTGACAAGGGGTGTGAAAAAATAAAAGCATTTTTACTGGGGTGAGAAGATCATTAGCAAATTCTCTGCAAAAAAATGGATTTCCCATGAGTTTTCTTTTTGTTAGAATTATACAGCTACGAATTTCCCTGTTGCTCTCACCTGGGCTGGAGCAGCCCATTTCCCCACTGAGGTGACACAGAGCTCTGAGAAATGCCACCCTCTGAATTAGGGCAGCCAGAGAGAAGGGACGTTTGGAAAGGATTTCCCCAACCACAGTCTGTGCACCCCGATCCCACTAACACCAAAGCTGCCCTAATTCTTCCTCACCTCTGAGTGCTGCCTCATCCTCAGCAAGTGCCTCCCTTCCTGCTCAGTGGTTGAGAATGCTGACTATAAGGAAATAGCAACAGTGAACAACGTTTTGAAAATGTGCTTGGGCTAGGGGCAGTGGCTCATGCCTGTAATCCCAGCACTTTGGGAGGCCAGGATGGATGGATCACCTGAGGTCAGGAGTTCAAGACCAGTCGGGGCAACATGGTGAAACCCCATCTCTACTGAAAACACAGAATTAGCCAGGCCTGGTGGCACGCACCTGTAATCCCAGCTATTGGGGAGGCTGAGGCAGGAAAATTGCTTGAACCTGGGAGCCGGAGGCTGCAGTGAGCACAGATAGCACCACTGTTCTCCAGCCTGGGCGACAGAGCAAGACTCTGTCTCAAAAAATAACAAAACAAAAAAACACTGAAAATGTGCTTGACGGCATCCTACTCGGTGAGTGAGACTGTGGCCAGGGGTGGAGAAACTGCAGGGCAAGGAGGCTTCCCCTGAGGGGCAAAGTCTCACCTCTGCAGAAATCTCCATAGACACCCTGCTCCTCCTCACCAGCGACCCCCACAGCACATATGCGCATGTGCACACACAGGCACCAGCCTCCTCCCCCAGATCCTGTGATTTCTGCAGCCCCATGATGCCAGGTATGGCTTGTGCATGTGGGAGCTGTGTGCCCTGCCCCCTCCTACCCGCCACCCCAACTCCTTTATTCACCTTGAGAGTGGGGCCAGGTGAGTATAGCCTGTTTTCTCTCCTGCTGCTCACAGTTCAGTGAGTTCAAGTGGTCAGAGTTTTCTTGTTGTCCATAAATAAAAATAAAAAGGTGATATCTTATTACAGAAAATCTGGAAAAGAGAGGAGGGAAAAAAATCATCCACAGTTCTACCCATTTAAAGCAACCTTGTATAGATGATAGCAATTACTGCTCTGGTTTTGTGTTCGCCTCCTTTGGCCCTTTCCCTTCTATTTCTTTCTGATCCTTCAAGGAGCACCAAGAACCCCACAGCCTGGGTCTGAACCCTAGCTCCAACCCTCAGGTAATCTTGGACCTGAGCATTTCTCAGCTGCTTTCCTGCCTCTGGAAAGATGACGGCAATGTTTACCTCATAAGAGAGATGAATTAGGATAAGAGAGCTGCCCCCACTTCCCTTCCCTTGGCCTCCCAAGGTGCTGAGATTACAGGCATGCACCACCATGGCTGGCCCTTAAATTTTTTTTAAGGCAAAAATAAAACATAAAAATCTATGTTCCTTAATATTAAGAACAGTACTGTGATACCGTTCCTTGTATCAAATAAAAAATCTAATATAAAAAAATCATCTAATCCCGCTAGAAAATTTAGAAAATATAGTAAACTATAAACAAACATAGCATTTACTGTTTCCGTATCTTTCTTTCTATGCGTTTGTTTAGGTGGTTGGAATCATTTATTTATTTTAGAGACAGGCTTTCACTCTTACCCAGGCTGAAGGGCAGTGACACTATCATGGCTTACCCCAACCTCCTGAGCTTAAGCGATCCTCCTGCTTCAGCCTGCTGAGTAGCTGAGACTACAGGCATGTACATGTGCAATCATGCCCAGCTAATTCTTTATTTTTTGTAGAGATAGGGTCCTGCTATGTTG